CAGCCATCCTAGAGGCAAGTTTTCTAACTCTTTTCCTCAAATGAAGGCAGCTTCCCTTCTCATATCATATTCCTGCAGAGAAAATTAACAGAGATGTGCCCCTGTGCTCTTCCCCTTATTGGAAGTTTAAGGATTACCACCACTGGGTGACCAGCAACCAAACTCACCAAATACAGTTGTGGTCTCCCACACACACACTACTTTTCCCAATATCCATCTCACAAGTTCCTGGACTTGCTAGCCAAACTGCCTTTATTATTAATAGCTGTGGGGAATTACAAGTTATTAAATGGCAATAGGCATTAATTATAGGACCATAACCCATGTATACCAGAGTGAGTTCCCAGGAACAGACGCTGAGGCTAGATTACTAAAGCAGTGATTTCTTTACTAAAGAATTCTCACACACACAAATATAAAATCAAGCATACAAACACACAACACAGAGGTAAGAAAAATACAGAGATGTTTGCATTAGTTTAGAGGTTAAGACACCAAGCTGCAGATTGGAAGATCTGTAGTTCAGCAGTTCAAGACCCTAGTGCTGCATAACAGAGCGAGCTCCCATCTCTGGCCCCAGCTCCTGCCAACCTAGCAGTTCGAAAGCAATAAACTGCAAGTAGATAAATAGGTACCGCTTTGGTGGGAAGGTAACAGTGTACTGTCCGCCTTGGCATTTAGTCATGCTGGCCATAAGACCACGGAAATGTCTTTGGACAGCGTTGGTTCTTCGGCTTGGAAACAGAAACGAGCACTGCCCCCTAGAGTCAGATTCGACTAGCTTTCAAGCAAGGAAAACTTTTACCTTTAGTATCGTTGGTGGGGTGATACTGTACCTGTCCGGTGAGAAGAGTTGACTCTGCAGCGAAAAAGGGACAAAAGAAGGGAAGGGATCGTGGGTTGACCAGCAACACACATGGGAAGTTCCAAACAGTGCTCGGAATGGAACCAGCAAGGTAGGGAGGGGTTAGCAGAGGCAGAAGTGAGAAAGAGAGCGCAATGGCATAAAGCTCTTCTTTTATACTTAAAAATGTGACCTGAGGCAGGGCTGCTTTGGTCACCTGGTCCCCAGGAGATATTAAGAAAACTTAAAACTATGAATGGGGCAGAAAAGAAATTAATGGCTGCGCAATTGCAGGTAATGGCTTGGCTAGGAGTGACACCTCTTAGGAGAAGGGGTGGACAAAGGAAAGAAGGAAGAGAACTAATCAGGTTGCAGGACTAGAACTTTGGGTTAATGACCAGATGCTTGACAGCTGCGTTATCTCGATGGGCAGCTGGAAGTCTTGATGGCTTGCTATTGTCATCCTCGGGCACATCCTTTTGTTTTAGGCTGGAGAGGAATGTGTGCTTCTGGTGATGTTAATATGTGTGTGGGGGGGGGATGCCTGTGTGATGGAGAAGGGAGTGCTTCATGGCGTCTGTGCAGAAACATCTTGTCCTTTTTGCAGAGCATGGCTTCCCTCTATGATCTGCTGCTGTTTCTGCGTATATGGAGGTCAGGGTTGCAGGTCTGCATTCTGGTGCTGGTATGGCTGCGGAGATGCAGGAGCAGGGGGCTTCCTGTAGTCCAGGAGTCCACGTCTGGCTTGGCATGCTGCTTGGGCACAAGGCTCCCCTTGGCCTACATAAGCGCTTTTATATAAAAATCTCAAAATTGACTGTTCCACTAGAAGCCATCACACTCCCAAATGCATACCAGGAAGAAGTACCAAGAAGGTATTTGGATATATTGGACTCCATTAGAAGACCTACCATGGTGGCAAAGAGCGCAAATTGAATCCAGATTTACTAAAGATAAGAGAATTGGATTTTATAAAAACCTTATAGAGATTGAAAAGATTATGACATCTATGGATCAGAAGCTTTTACGAAGATCTTATGTGTTGTTACTTGATGATTTAATGGTGGATGAAATAATAAAAGGGAATATGATTCAATGGGGACAGAATATTGGGCATGCTGTTAATTTAGAGCAGTGGTATCAAATATGGAAGAAAAATATTAGGATTACGAAAGCTATTCCATATAAAGAAAACATATATAAAATGTTTTATAGATGGTATGTAACACCTGAAAGGTTAGCTAAAATTGACCCGAAATGTTCGAATAAGTGTTGGAAATGTGAAAATAAGGTTGGCTCATTTTACCACATGTGGTGGCATTGTGAAAGATCTAAGAAATATTGGGTAATAATACATGAAATCTTGCAAAAGGTACTAGGGACATATTGGAAATTACCGGAGATAACAACAAAACGAGAACTAGTAAATAAAATCCTGGAGGATGCGGAATTGGATAAATTGACTTTATTGATAAAAGGCGCAACAGATTCGACATTCCAGAATACTTGGGTCACAATTTTATAATTGGTATGATAAATATATGTAGGCAAACTTGCAAGAGACAGACTAAGAGTTTACTAAATGAAATATATACCTGTTAGGATGATAGAGACAGAAAAGTTGCTTACACAGTTCATGAGAAATTGTTATTAAGGTGGAATAGGCACCAGTATAAATATTGGTAAAAATTGAAAATAACCTCCATGTATCTGTTTGTACTGTTTGTATGTATGTATATGTATGTATATGTTATGATTGTTGGTGTATGTTATGTGGAAAATGTAATAAAACCCTGCCCCTTTGGGGGCAGTTTAAAAAAAAAAAAAGGCTCCCCTTGGCCAAAGCACACCCCTTTATTCCAGTATAAGAGCACTGCTTATGGGCTACAGTCCTGTCCATTGCCCTGGCACACTCTTCACAGTTCAGCAAGGCAATCATATTTAAGAGTCTTTGGTAATGCCATCTGAAGTGGCTGCATGGCAACAGACCAGCTTCTCAAATATCTTGTCAAATTTCATGCTATACAACACTGGTGTAAGGATTAAACTAGGTTCTAGCAGCGCCGAATTCAAAATCCCCACTCTTCTATGGAAGCTTGCTGGGTAAACTTTGTGTCAGTCTCTCTCTCTCCCCCTCACAGGGTTATTGTTGTGAGGATAAAACAGAGGAGTGAAGAATTTGTAAGCCACTTTGGGTCTCCAGTGAGGAGAACAGCTGTGTATAACCAAATAAAATAAATATTTGCACAATAGGTAAGTCTGTCCTCTCAACATTTTCTCTGAAAGCTGCATTATATTGAAATAGCACTGGATCATCACAATCAAGGACAGTATCACTAATATGGATTATACTGATAAAGTTAAATGGGAACAGGATTTCTTAATTATTATCAGATTCTAAAGAACCTCATATTTCTTTATTAAACTCTGGTTTAAGTGAGAACTTTTATAAATAGGATGCTGGGGTAAGGTACTACTCTTTGTTGGAGATACAGAAGTTCTCCTTGATCATTCTTTTCTTATCTGATGGAAATGCACAGACGTGCAGCTGCCTTGGGGGAAAAGTACAACTCTAGATAAAATTATTGGGTGTCCAATGATTTATAATCCAATGGTACTCGTTTTAGGGTATCTACAGGGATCAATTAGGCAGGAACACAAACATTTGCTGAATAAAGGGTTGGCTCCAGCCAGCATTTTAGTAGTCACATTTTGTAAAATTTTCTTGATGTTTGGAAACAGATGATTTGGAATATAATGTTAATTAATAAGTTAACTTTACAGAATCTTTTGCAAAAGAAAAAAATACAATATGTTATACAAATTTAAGAAAGCAGTGATAATTATTTGCTATTGGAATAAGACCAATGTGAAAGAAGCAGACTTACCTCTTATCTGACTAAAGGTGTTGTATAAATGATAACAACCAAGTGTTTAGAAATACTTGTTATTGATATTTTTGATTTTACATTTTTCATTCTTGATGCCTGTTATATTACATTTTATGTTTAAAAAGCACAATTACAGTGCCAGGCTGAAAGTTCAAATGACAATATTCCTGGGAGACATGGATCTTGATCCTCAAAATGTCTGAAACCAAGACATTGTTATGCCTCTCAAGCAGATTATGCAAAACACAGACTACCTCAGAATAGCAGCCAGTGAACAATGTAAGATATCCCACCAATAGAACACAGGGGTGTATAGAAATATTGCTTCTATATTCACATGCCTTCTCTCTGTGATGTCTTTGGATAATATGCTGTGTCTTGTTTCCTGTTGCAAGCTAAATGGTGAGGCCACATGGCCTCAATAGCCATGCCATAAACCCACATTCTTTCACACTTTCATGCCAAAAGCCAGACCTCATAGCTCCACACTCTGGCCCACTTGCGACCAGTCACGTATACAACGAAGTAGCTGGAGTTTGGGTCACATGACTGCAGGCAGGGTCTCCAAACTTCCAACCAGTCCCACAAACCTGATGTTAGCAACCATGGCAACCAACAATTGGGCACACCCATGCCCACTCGCAATTGGCTGATGACCACATCTAATTTGTGACTGGAAGTGGGGTATGACTGTTTGATCCCTATGGGAGTGAGTTTTCTTGCTCTTGCTCTCCCTTCCTCCTCTTGTCATTGTCTGTTTTATTGAACCTGAAATGCTGCCTCTTGAGAGACAAAGAGTTGCTTTGTGAACTGGAGCACAAGGTTCTGCAAAGATGGGATTTCCCTTCAAAATCCCTTGGACTATCCTGGACTCTGGATGTTCTGACTTGGTAACTATGAATCATTAATGTTTAGTTAAGGCAAACAGCCCTAGCCTTTGTTATTTTTGTAATCTCTGGTAGTCTATGCTAAGCTCTGTACTGAATAAAGATCCTTCTTATTGTTAAATTGTCTGGGTGTTGTAACTTGAACTCCAAGGCTAAATCTTGTGCCTAACCCTGACCACATATGCTACCTTGGTAAGAGTGTGCATCTCTGGATAGAGTTGCTACTGTGTTAAATCCCAGATGCTAACTAAGGGTTGGAATCTCTCCCTTATTAAACCAGACTTAAACAGGAGAACAAATGTGGTTGAATTACTAATGGTAGCTTAACCAAAATATTGGTGGCTTAACCAAAATATTATTATATCTACGTATACTTACATGGGATGGTTCTCAAGTAAAGATTGTCTCTGATCACTTGTTGTAGTTTATGATCTATGGAGCCTTTCTGGAACTGCAAGCTTAGGTAGTGACGCAGATCTTTGTTGATGACTTTCCCTGTGAAAAAAAAGCAGAAAATCATGAAAAATTGCAATATATCACGACAGACCAGACACAATTCATCTCTCTAAGCCCCTTAACGTCTTCATCATCCCATTGTTTTCCAGGTGTGTCTGAAGTACAAAGACTGCAAATAGAAAGGTTATCTAGATCAAACAGATCACATTTCTGTGACTTGCAGCCAACTGTCTTGCTTTTTGTTGTTCAGTCACACAGTCGAGTCCAACTCTTCGCGACCCCATGGACCAGATCCCGCCAGGCCATCCTGTCTAGCCCTTTCCCCTTTAGTATCTTCTTTCCCCCCCCAGCTCCATGGCTTTTGTACGATTCCCTGTCTCTTCCCCACACCTTCCCTGTCTCTTCCCCACACTCATTCCACTACCTCCTCCGCTTCCTTCCTTTCAGCAGCTTGTTTTTATGCCTCTTTTCATTTACCTTCCTAGTTCTCAGACACTCTTTTATTCCTACCAGCTAAAAGCACACAGACTTCCTTCCATGGTTCATGAAATGCCACACCACATACCAACAATTTATGGCACACATCTTGAATCAAATAGTTATGTTTTTGTGAATACTATGCAGCACAGAAGCTCAGGTGGGATTTTCAGGCAACTGGCACCAAACACCTTTTAGCATAAGACTGAACAGTGTTCAGAATAAATTATTTTCATACGAGGGCAGTGACAAAATAGTGGACAATTTTTGCTTTTGAAGTGTGATAAATAACACTTATCTGACAACATGCATGAGCTAATGCTAGAAAACTCCAATAAAGCCTCTACTATCAGTTTACTTTCAGTACTCTTGAAGTAAATACCTAATTGTTCTAGGCACTGAAAGGTCTAATTAATCTATGCTCTAGGAAGTCTAATTTATGGAATCAACAGGGGCAATGGCTAAAAGAAAAACATATTAGTGCAGGTGAGATAGTGCCCAGTCATCTGCATGCTTAATATAATGATTGGATAATTAGTGTGTCAGAAGAACAAGGCAGCATAAAAGTGAACTACTGTACTATGCCAAAAAGTGCCTGCAGTGAAAAACAAAACAAAGCACTAAAATCCAAGCATACTAACCAAGATTACTAAAACTTTGACAACATATTTTGTCCTTTAAATTAAAATATGTAGTGTTCATGGTCTTAAAATTATGAGAATTACAAGTGGAGACCCACAATAAACTTGTGGGTGGTTATCCCATTCCTCATACCTTTGCTTCCTCCCCTCTCCCCCTACCTCTCTCACACTCTTTTTCCCTTCTGCCCCCCTTTTCTTGCTCTCTCTCTCCCCCCTGCATGTTACTTCCTCTCTCTTTCTGCCTCTCATCATTCTCTCTTTTTATGCCTCCCCACATCATCACTTTTTTTCTGCCCCCACCCCATCACTTTCTCAGCCTCCTGCTTGCTTCCTCCCCCACCCCACACAGCAGCAGCAGCAGCAGTGGTGGTGGTGCTCCCAGCCACCCACCTGCTTCCTCTCCCT